CAACCTGCCCCGTCCAGTGCTCCCTTCTTTCCATTTGCTCATAATATGCAAAGGTCACTCTACTTGTTCTTAAAAACAGTCCTCAGTTGTAAAAACCCCGTGCGTCATACTGTTTTTTAAAGCGCTCGTGGTAGATGAGTCGTGTGATGAACCCCACGTGCCCATCCTTCTGCTTCCTCAGGTACTAACCTGCTGCCAGTCATGGTGGAGCTACATGTCCCCCCATCCTGGGATGTTTTGGAGCAAATCTCCAGCTCCATTTTCTGGAGAAAAAGATGACCATGGGGTGGTGGGGGAACAGCCCACACGGGCCCTGGTGCGCCCTGGCATTCGCATTTGTCTTTGGCGTGAAGTGTAAAGGCACGGAGATGCTTCTCTTGGTTTGGCTAGTTTCTCTCAGCAGCACCTGGGCTCCACGTGGTCAGGTGAACGTGGTGGGCAGCGGTCTCTACGTGGGATATCCCTCTCTGGCATCCTGCTTGGCTTTTCTTTCAGGCAGCTTACTTGTAAACAATGAGATGTGCTCTCTTTAGGATATGAGAAGCTCTAAAGTGAACAGGAACGTGACCGTGAGGTTGGCTTTCTTACCACAGTTTGTGGCTTAGCAATTGGTTCTGTGACTTGGGTCATTTTACTAGGACTTCACAGCTTCCTGCTCTGGTGAAAGAGGATTCTGTGAGGTATAAATTATGTGAACGCCCCCACCCCAAGATGCTGATGAATCATCCCTGCAGTGGGCTCGTCATGCCTGGTTAATCTGCGCTCCAATGAAGGGAGCGTTCTTGTCTTGAGTTGAAGGCCTGACAGCTGGGTGCCCTTGGTGAGCAGTGGCTGGGGATCGAGGTCTTGCCTCTGATTTTTAAATTCTATTTTGAAGGACTGACATTGAGATTTCTGAAGTGTGTAGTGCCCGTGCCTTTACCAGGTCACAGCCTCAGGATGCCTCCATTGAGGGTCTGTCCTGTGCTGGCTGGGGACCAGCCCTGGGGTGCAGACAGAGTGGAGTAGAGGTGGTGATGGGAGAAGGTTGTCGCAGTCGGGTCTTCACAGTGACAGAAGCAACTGGAGACCGTGGGAGATTGGGTGTAGGAATTGGCTCACGTGCTCATGGTGGGGAGGTCCCACCACCTGCCCTCTGCCAGCTGGACACCCAGGAGAGCTGGGGGCGTAGTCAGTGCAAGGTGGAGGCCTGGGAACCCCGGAGCTGCAGTGTCAGCTCCAGCAGGGGCCGGAGGAGGGTGGGGTGTGTGCTCTACGGCGTGAGGCTGAAGGGACGCGTTCCTCCCTCCTGGCCTTCTCCTCTTCATGAGTCAGCGTCCTGGATGATGCCACCCCCTAGGGAGGGCCCTCTGCTGCTGGACAGAGTGCCACGGCCGGGTAGACAGTGGGCTGGGAGCTTTATCTGGCTCATGGCGTCTGGTGAGGGCCACTTCACGTCGCGGCAGAAGGTGTCATGTGGTGAAGGGGCGCCTGAGGGATGGAGGGGAAGGGGCCAGACTGCCCCCCTGGTCCTCAGTGATGGTGCCTGGGAAGCCCTCAGGACTGCTCAGCTCTTGAATTCGGATCCCAGGGCTTAGCGCGCCACAGTGGCAGTTCAATTTCTGTGACCTTGGCTGAGTCCACCTGTTCACGGCTGACGTCCTCTGGAAAGACCGCAGCCCGTGCACCCCGAGCCTGTGTGATCTGGCCACTCTCGTTGGCCTTCGTCTCCTGGACTTCCTGTCCTTGCTGACACCGGGATTCCTGGTCCACTGTCTCCTCTTGGGAAATTCCCCGCCCCGCTGGCCCTGCGATGGCTACTTTCCGGAAATCCCGCCGTTCCTGCCCTCACAGCTGAGTCCGTCCTGCCTTGAGCTTTCCCACCCGTCCACCTGACCCTGAGCTCAGTCAGCTGGTCAGCTGGTCAGCTGGCGTTTCCGTCACGTCTCAGCCGCCGATGCTCCTCCTGGAGGGTAAAGGCTTTTCTGATCCGAACCAAACCAAGGAGGAGCCGCACATTCAGCCCCGGCCACTCGGGGTTCACGGGCTTTGGTCTCTCTCCGCAGGGCGGGGTACCTGGACGAAGACCAGATGGAAGTGCTCCTGGAGCGGGCTCAGACGGAAGTCTTTTCTATAAAACAGAAGTTGGAAAACGACTTAAAGCAGGAAAAGAAAAAGCTCCACCAGAAGTTGGTCACCAAGAGAAGACGAGAGTTGCTTCAGAAGGTACGTCAGGTGCCGCGCCGTTCCTCTTTGGGTAACCTCTGCCAGCACCTCCAGGTCACGGCTGCCGTCCACCCTGGGTCCGCCAGGGCACCTGGGCAGACAGTGCCTGTGCCATCTGCAGTTGATGGGTGGTGACTTTTTGGAGTGCCGCTTCATGGTGGCGCATCAGAGGCCGTGGTTGACTAGCCGTGTCTGCCTGGGGAGGGAAGTGGCGGCTGGTGTGAGTGACGAGGACGATGATGCCTTTCATTACCGAGTGCTGGGCCCCGTGTGAAGCCTAGGACTGGCCTCCGTCACTGCAGTGTACGCCATCGGGGCGCCGCCTGTTCTCTGAGCCGCAGGTTAAAGGACCACAACAGGCCCGAGCCCCAGCTCTGAAGGCCTGTCCAGCCAGGGCTAGTGACTAGCAGAAGGACTGCAGACCCCAGGAGAGAGCCTCCGGTCCTCTGCAGGCTGAGTGGCCCAGGGTGAGGATGGAGCGTCACCGAGCAGACTGTGCTGTCGTGTTCCCAGGGGCCTTCCTTAGGAGAAGGAAGGAGTGGACCCTCTCTGGTCACCAGGAACCGCCAGCAGAAGGCAGGCCGCCTCATGTTCTGGTCAAGTAGGACGAGAGCAGCTGTGGACGCCTGTTAAGGACACCCGTGGCATCTCACTCCCGTCAGGCTTCCCACCACGAGGCCTACGTGCCCTCGGCTCTTTCTCCCTGGCCTCTTCTTCCCACTTCTTAACCTGAGCACGGCGAAGCCTCCCCCCTCCCCAGGCCCCTTCTGACTCCTCCTGGAGCCCTCTCACGTGGCGCTCGCGTTGGCTTTTCCCTTACAACATCACCATGTGCAGTCCTGGCCTGGCCTGATCTGCACCAGGGCTTTCCTGAGGCTGTGTCATATCAGGCCACCCGTAATCGCCACAGCCACACCGTGTGGAGGTCCCATCACATCCCCATCTTACCGAGCAAGATGTGGAGGCACAGAGAGGTTAAGATACTCATTCAGGTCACTCAGCTTGTAATGGAGGAGCCAGGATTGAAATCCAGATGGCCGGCCTCCTGACTTTACCTCCTCAATAAGTCTTGTTCAGTGAACATCAAACATGAAGTTTCAACATAGTTTCTTTGATCTTCTGAAGGATAATTTCCCAGATGTGAGATTGTCAGGGAGGAGTGGGGAGTCGCTAAACCTTCCGTGTCCTCTGCCACAAACTTCCGAAGTGTTTTCCCAGAGGGCTGTGCCTACCACCCTGCCCCCATTTGATCGTCCTTTGTCACCTTCCTGCCAGCACAAGGAGCAGCGGAGACAGCAGCTGTCCACTGGCGAAGCCCTCCGGGCTGCTGAAGACGCCGGCCAGTACCTGGGCCAGTGGAGGAGCATGGTGGCCGAGCACAGTGCCGCCCTGGAGGAGCTGCAGGAGGGCCTGGACCAGGCCGCCCTGGACGACCTGCGGGCCCTGACCCTGGCGCTGTCGGAGAAGGCCACCGAGGCCCTGCGGCGCCTGCAGAGCTCGGGGATGACGCAGGAGCTGCTCAAGCGCAGCGTGCCCTGGCTCTTCCTGCAGCAGATCCTGGAGGAGCACGGCCAGGAGTCGGCCGCCCGCGCTGCGCAGCTGGAGGCCGAGGAGAGGGAGCGGGGCCAGGAGGGCGTCCGGAGCGTGAGGCAGAGGCTGCAGGAGGACGCCCTGGAGGCCTCGGTGGAGGAGCAGGCGGAGCTGAGGTGCTGGGAGCGCCTGATCTTCCTGTGAGTGGCCCTGCAGGTCCCCTCTGCCCCCACCGCTGCCCTGCACCCAGCTGCTGAGGGAGGGAGCCCAGGCTGCGGTGCCCAGGGTGGCCCAGCAGATGAGGGTGCTCAGCCACCCAGACTCACAGCTTGCAGGGTGGACGCTGGGGCCAGGGGAGGAGGGTTCTGGGGACGGGGGCCCTGGGTGCCTTGGGAGTGTGGGTGGTTCAGTGGTTGACAGGGCCCGGCCCACTGCTCAGGGAGAAGTAGACTGCCCCCTGTCCCTTCCATAAGAAGTGAGGCAGAGTGGGGAGAAGGCTGGGTGAGGCCATGGCCACCCCGTGGTCTCCCCAAGAGTCCAGGCAGCACTGACATTGGCCCCTGGTGCAGTTCTCACACCTTGCCACACCATATTTCCCCTGCTCCTTCATCGGCTGGCTCATTGGGCCACTGGTTCTTATTAATACCAGAACCACTAGGACTCCTGCTCCAGAGTGGGACACAGTGCTGGTCACAGCCGACCCGCACTCCTGCCGAGGAACTGGAAACCAGTGCGTGAACCATGCACCATGTCTTCCAGCCCCCGGAGAGACCCAGTGTGAGGACCAGCTGGAGCCGGCTCTAGTTGGGGAGTCTTCTGCTTGCCCCAGTCAACTGCCGGTTCTTTGTGCAGACTGAGATTTAGCTCAGCCCAGGAGGGAGGCATCAGTGGTATATTAGACCCACAAAGATTTGGGTGTACATTGGAAACCCTAGGAGCCCCAGATATGACCAGTGTGGAAAGAGATGCAGATAGTGTAGAACAAAAGACCAGGCTTTAAATTCCAGCACCCACCACCTGTGGTGGTGCTGTGTGGGTGTGGACAAGTTACTTGACCTCTCTGGGTCTCATCTTTCTTGCCTATAAAACAGGGATGACAGTATTAAATAATTTATAGCACTTGATGCTATCAGGTGGGTTAACATGTGAAGCGAATGTTTATGTAAGAGCCTGGCTCTACGTGGGGACCCTTGGACGGGTGTCAGGTGGTCGAGCATCTGCAGGATCTTGCTGACCTGAAGGACTTAATGCCCCTCCCCTCCCAGCCCTCCTCCCCAGCACCGACCTTGCTGTGGGGAGTCGGTCCCCAGGTGTTCGTGCACAGTGATGTCCTCTGGTTCTCAGTGAGTGACTCCGCTCTTCCCACCTCTCTCTGTGCTCCTGGCTTCATGGATTCCCTGATCTTCATTAGTTGTTGCTTTCCTGACACGGGAGCCGAGACGCTGTCTTCTCCAAGCCACACAAATCAGACCCTTACGGGCCCTTCGAGCACGTGAGTGGCCCTGGCAGCACTGATGCCGCCCAGGCCTCTGCTCGTCCACGGGCTTTGGACTCTGCAGCACGTGAATCAGACGCGGCGTTCCCGTTACTGGGTGGCCATTTTCTTCAACTTCGTTTGGGTCCATTTTGCAGGGACCATTACTAAAACCGCCACTGAGTTAGCCGCCAACGGGGAAAGAGAAATCTGGCTTGGCTGTCGGGGCTCTTCAAGGTTTTTCCAAGGATTGAAGAGGGGCGTGAGCTGCTCCTACGCGTGGCTGATTCAAGGTCCCAGGGCTGCGGCCTCAGTTTCCATGGCGTTGTGTAACGATGGCTTGGCACCATTGTTTGGAGACACGGTTCATGAGCTTCCCATCTGCACACAAGACGGGGTGCCGTGAGCCTCTCCAGCCAGAGGTGGGATTGAGAAGGGCCTGTTTTTTGCCAGGGAAGGTGTGTCTGGACGCTTCTTTCCTAGGTTTCTACTCTGACCTTAACTGCCAGGGCAAAGACCTGCCTCCTGTCTTTCTGTATTCCCTGGTCCTTGTAGCAGAGGACCAGGACCAGGCCACAGGGGCCATTCTGCTGGAAGGTGCACGATAGGACCCAGGTGCCCGCAGGGTGCTCTGGTTCTGGACGGTCACCGGCAGACAGTGGGAGAGGCCGTGCAGGGGGCGAGGGCCAGGGGCGGGCTGCATCGCTAGAAGTGCTCTAGAAACTGGGGCCCTTGGAGTGAGGACCCCATGACAGGGTGCCCTGCCCCGGGGCCCTTGCCTGCGGCCTGTGATGTGACCCTCAGGCCTTCTGTCTTCCTCGGAGGGCCCCGGACATCCTGAATCCTCCTGCACTTCCCCAGGAGAACTGCCCTGGTGACCGGGATGTAGAGATCCGGGTGTGTGAGGCTTGCCCTGGCCTCCCTGGGAAGCATTCTGCAAATGTTCCCACAGAGCCACTCCCACGCAGCCTGTTGACAGTGACAGAGTGACAGAGAAACCCGGGTCGCTCTGCAGAGATTAAATAAGTGGATGAATAAACAGACAGACCCTGTCAGAAGCAGGAGCGAGAGGTCAGGCCCCTCCCGAGTCAAGGAGGGACTTCCATCCAGACGTCCACCCTGGGACCCACAAAGCTGGGAAAGTGAGCGTGTGGCCACTCTCCCTGGGGAGTGGCTGCGGGCCTGGCTGGGGATGTTCCTCAGTCTCCTCTCGTGTCAGTCGAGGGTCAGCAATGATGTAGGTCACGGTCTCTGATTCCCAGGGATCCTTAAGGGGGCACCACAACCAGGTGGCTTCAAACCAGAGGCACATGATTGTCTCCCGGTTCTGTGGCCAGAGTGAACTCGGGGTGCAGGAGGCCGTGCTCGGCTGAGGCTCTGGGGAGGCCGTTCCTCACCCTTCTCTGAGCTTCTGCATTGGTCTGTGGACACGTCACTCCCACCTCCGCCTCTGTTGTCACATGGCTCCTGCCCCGCGTGATGGTCTCCTCGCCTGTCCCACCCTATGACATCAGTTATATCAGAGTGAGGGTCCCCTCCACTCCAGTGGGTCTTCATTTGCAAAGACCCCGTTTCCAAATGGCCCCATTCACAGGTGCTGACCTTAGATTCCCATCCGAGGGACATAATTCAGTGCATAGCAGTAAACTGCCCGGCACGGTCTGTGGCGTGGAGTAGGTCTGTGATAAATGACAGTTGCCAGTTTCCATCCTTTAGGACCCTTTCCCTGCCCCGACCTGTCCTGGGTGCCGCTCGCTCACAGTGCTGCTGCCTGGGGTCGGTGGACAGGGCTTCATTTCTTGTCTGTTTCTCCAGTGGGGCCAGGTTGTGGTCACGGGCGTGAATGCCAGAAGACCTCCTCCTGGGTGCCTCCTTGAGCTCTAGGTCTCAGCTCCACAGGACCCTGTGCCCAGCAGCGCATGCATCAGGCACCCAGCGCATACATTAGGCACCAAAGGCTTGCCGACTGAATGCCCAGAGGAGCCATGCCTTTCCCCCATGCAGGGACTTAGTTCCTGGGCCGTGAAGTCCCAGCTCCCGCCCCAACCCCACACCTGCGTTTCCTCTTGGTGGAACATGCCACTATCCCCTCCACAGGCGGCTCTGCTGCTGGACCTTCTCACTGTCTGAAGAGGAGCTGCTCAGGATGAGGCAGGAGGTCCACGGCTGCTTCGCCCAGATGGACAGGAGCTTGGCCCTCCCCAAAATCCGGGCCCGCGTCCTGCTGCAGAGATTCCAGACCTCCTGGCGGGAAGCAGAGGTCCTGAAGCTGGACCAGGCCCTGGCTGCACCCGAGCTGCAGGTAGGCAGGACAACATGGCCTCTCAACGGCAGGGACTGGCCACTACCCCACAGGATCTGACCCTGTGGAGTCCTGTGTCTCTGTCCCCTACCCAGATCCCTCTCCCCGTCCTCTCCTTTCCAGCCATGGTAGGTCTTACTGTTCTTGGAACACCCAGGTTTGTCCTGACCTCAAGGTCTGGGGACAGCTCTGAGGCCATGCAGATGCCCTTACCCAGCTGGTACAGTGTCCACCTGCAGCCGCCCGTGGTTTGCAGCCACACTCTTCTGTACTCTTCTCCTGAGTGTGGTGCTGGGTGGAAGGGAGGCACCTGACCTGAGATGTGGCTCTCCTCTCTTCTCCCATAGTCGTGGACAGTGGCTGATTCAGTGTACAAAAGGCCTCTCTGCAAGTGGCACCAAGAAGGGTTGCTCACCTCAGCTTAGTGGGCTTGGAGAAGAGTCTCTTGTACTGGGATGATGATTGACAGCTGCTTTTGGGGGACCACCTGCGTGTCTCAAGGGCAGATGAGTCTGGTGCAGCTGATCCTGCACGTGATCTTGAACTAGCTGTTGTAGACCTCTGGGGCCACGCCTCCTTAATGCACGTGATCTTGAACTGGCCATTGCTCCTGCCTGCAGCATGCTTTGTAGTCTCTTCACCCCTCAGTTCAATGTCACCTCCACCAAGAGGCCTTCTCTGAGTGCCCATGTAAAGTAACCTTCTCCCAGGCATGCTTTGTCACGAGGCCACCACCTGGCACGATCCAGGAAGAGACGCATCCTGCTGGCCTCAGGTGGAGTTTGCCAGTTCTGTGAGCCAGAGTCTTCCCTTGGCTTGGGGCGACCTGGGGCTGCATGAGCTTGCTGGTGACCATCTTGATGCCAGTGTTTTCTCTGACCCCTCTCCACCCACAGTCCAAGACAAGGAAGCCGCGGTCCAAGAGTAAAAGCAAGGTAGACCTTTTGAAGAAGTGCATCGAAGACAAGATTCGCCTCTTTGAGGAACAGGCCCCTGAGGACCTGGTTGAAAAGGTGGGTGCGTCTGCTTCATTGGTGGCTTCTCTCTGCACCCAGCAGGTGACGCTGGCCGTTGGCAGGTGTGTGGAGTTCTCCTGGGCTGCTCCGTCCATCTGTCCCGAGCACCGTGCTCTGGAAGTCACCGTCCTGCACGTGTGGCCCCTCTCCCCTGGGCCCTCCCCCGCTCCCTGGGCCTTCTGTCTTAGCCTCTTTCCCCGGGTGTCTGCTGGGAGATCTTGTCACCTCAGGCTCTGCTCCTCGTGGCCCTGGTCCCGCTGTGCGTATGCCTGGCTCTGTCCTGGGGCATTTCGTCGTCTTTTCTCCCCATCTCCTTTTTACCCGTGAGTCCTGGGCTGTGCTCCCACGTCCCCGCTCCCTCCAGCCCCTCCTTGTCGCCGTGTTTGGTCCTTGTGTCCTGCGCACCCTTGGGCTCCTGCTCTCCAGGCTGCGTTCTGCCCGCTCCTGCAGTCGCCTCTCAGGTCACTTCCTGGACGCGGAGCTCCGTCCTCTGCTGTCCTTAGGCGTTGCCTCTGTGCTTGGGTGTCCTCTCCAGGACGTCCCCCTCTACACCTGGCGCCCCCCTCCCCGCAGCCTGCGCAGCCCCCTTCCAGCAGTGCTTCGGGCACTGCTCATTGGCTCCCTGAGTGTTTGAGGAGACAGTGACGTCCTGGTACCGTGTCCCCGAGCTCTGGCCTGATTCAGGTGGTCCTGCTCCTGCTCTCTACTTGGGGACCCTGATGAGAAACACTTAGAATTGTCTCTCTCTTAAAATGCTCCTCAGGGAAGGATCGAGGTGCTGTGGCCGCGGCAGGTGGAACAAGCAGGAGGCAGGTGCACTGTTGGTGGGTCGGGAGGAGAGGGCTCCCGCGGGGTCGCGTAGAGTGGACACCACATGGGCTGCCTGTGCCCGTGTCTCCTGTGCTTTGCCCTGTGTTGGGGGCTCCCAAGAGGACTGTGTTCAGGTGCCCCCAGCTGCGCCGTGTGAAGCAGCTGTGTTTGTCCCTGTCTTCTGTCCGTGTCCTCGCCTAGTTTTGTTTTTAATTAAAAAAAATTTAAGGTAGGTGTACCTCGTCTCAGAAGACAGATGCCTGGACCTGTGCAGGGTCCTAGAACCTGCTCTGGGCACGGTCAGTGGCTCCTTTCAGGGTGTGTAGGGGTTGACCATCAGCAGTCACGAGGAGCAGGCAGAAGTGCCGGGACTGGGGAGGACAGGGCTGGACGGTGACCGGTGGGGGAGCAGCTCCCGGGCCACGTGACCCAGGGCATCATCAGCGGTGACCTTCAGTGAGAGGTGTCCTTGCAGCCTGCCTTCCCACCTGGCAGGTGCCCACCTCAGGCGCTCCCTGACAGCAGCTTAAAGGGCCTCCCTGCTCAGCAGGTGGACTTTGCTCCCTTTCCTTTGCACAGTGATCGTGGAGGGCAGCCACGGCCCCCACTTGCTGAGGGGCTGCCAGGTCACTGTCACAGTCAGGGTTCTTCAGATACAGAACCAGCCAGATGTACACCCAGGTAGGCACCGACAGGAGGGTTATTACGGGGATCTGCTCCGGCAAGTGTGGAGGCCGGGAGCCCACGATCCGCCCCTGTGAGCTGGGCAAGCCGAGGCAGTGGTCAGCTCAGTCTTGCCCACAGGCCTGGGCCTGGGCTGCGGTGTAAGTCCAGAGTCTAGGGCCCGAGAACCAGGGGTGCCGACGTCTCCCAGGGCAAAGAAACCACGGCCCTGCTCAGGGGAAGGCCCGGGGTCCCCTTCCTCCTCCCTTCTGTTCCGCTGGGCTCTCCCGAGGCTGGATGGCCTCTGCTCACACTGGGGAGGATCTTATTTGCTCAGTCCCCCAATTCCAATGCTGCTGTCACCCAGAAACACCCTCACAGACGCTTCCAGAAACAACACTCTGGGCATCCCTTAGCACAAGCCAGGTGGCACTAAAATCAACCCTCACGGTCACGTTTCAGGGGAGGGAGGTCCTCAGGGTCTGTGCAGCTGTGGAGATGGCGCTAGGTCCTCTGACAGCTGCCCAGGAGACCTGGGGAGGATGGCCTGGTGGGAATGGGGTGCCTCCAGGGCGGCTCTGGTCTCTGGTTCACCTGGGACAGCAGAGTGTGCTGGGGACACCGCTGGGCCCCTCCTTGACTGGAATCTGCAGGCACCAGTCCACCCTTAGCCCTGGACTGACACTCCCTGGTCTGGACTCCTCCGAGTGGCTGAGGGGAAGTGGGGTCTGGGGAGGGAAGGAGGATGGTTCACCCACCACAGTGATGGTCAGGGTTGGGGTGAACCGCTGGCCGCCGTCCCCCTTGTCCTGCTGTGCAGCAGCGAGCTGAGGGCTGGAAGGTGTCACCTTCCTGGGAAGACTCTTGGGGACTCTCTGTCCCCCCTGCCCCGCCCTTCCTCCCATGTTCCTTTGCTTCTCCTTCCCACCTGCCCTGCCTGGCTCTCCCTCCTCCTGCTGGGAGCACTGCTTTGTGCCCTTCCCTGGGCCGGGCCCCTCTGGGGTTCATGGGTGCAGAGGCGCAGCTTGTCCCTCACCCCTGCAAGTCCGCCTCTGCTTTCAGAAAATCCACCGGGCCAGTCTGAAGCTCCACCCAGAATCCAGGGCCGTAGGTGAACTTGGGAGGGACAGAGAGGGACGGGCAGACCGGTGCGGGCCTCCTGACCGCCCGCTTTCTGAACAGCTGACGGGTCGATGGAGGACGCTGGCAGTGCTGGTGTCAGGCAGCACCAGAGGGCCGAGCGGGCAGTCAGGGCCATGCGCTTCACCCCACTCCAGG